GATAAATGTCAGAAAATAACATTTTTGTGCACCAGCTTGAGAGCTCTTTTAGAGAGAGAGAGTCTTTCTTTTCAATATCACAATTTCTTCCTGCACCCACTACCATTCTGGCCCTGGGCCACCCACACAGCACCACCAGCACACTTCAGCCTGGCTCTAGCACTCCCTACTGTTCCAGTCCCAGGCTCCTACACCACTCTGCCTTCCGAGCTGCCTTCTTACCTGAAGCACCTCCTGCTATTGCAGTTCAGGGTCCCTATATATAGTACTGCTCACACACATCAGTTTTCATTCTCCCACTCCCTCTTGTCTCTTGAAAGCAAAGTGGGTCAGAAAAGAAGAACATATCTCAGAACAAGCAGTGGTAGAAAAAGCTGGTGGGGGTGGGAAGGTGGGCACCAAATGATTTGCTGACAGTGTTTTAACAAGGGACTCCCACTGAGCTTTTCCCCTTTAGCTGGTGATAAGCATAGGCGTAGCAAGGGTGTATGCAAGTATCTGGGGAATCTATTCATTTGTTTTCCTCTTTAAATACAAATTCTTTCCCAGAACCACAACCAAGGAGGGAGCCAACACCTCCTAACAAACACGTGTCTTAAATGCACACATGGGAAGAGTTTATATCTTGTTCCTGAAAAAATAAACAAAAAAAAACAAAACAAAACCCCAGCACAAGTGCATTGACAGGATTGCTTGGTGCCATTTGAAATGGGAGCAGGGGGAATCAGCAATATCCTCTCCAGGAAATGTTTTAAAAAATCTCTGGTGCTTGAAGCCACCTGATGCATACCAGCACATTAGCTCTGCCACAGCATTTGTGTGAGCTCCTGGGGGGTAAAGCCAACTGCTGCAGCAGTACCCAGGTAGGGGGCAAGCTTGATTACAGGCAGAGAAATCACCTCGGCCCTTCCTTTACTTTGGAAAACCATAGCAGGAGCTCCCTCCAGCCTATCCTTGGTTTTGTCTCCATCCTTGATTTTATTTCTAAGGCGGTGAGCAGGTGGAGCATGACTTCAAATGCAGGCAGACCCTCCCACACCTTGCACTCTTTGGCTGCATAATTTGGCAGGGGGGGGTCTTATTTTTTCCTTTTGCCAAGAATCTGGGGGCCGGCTCTTTGGAATGTCGCTTTCATGTGCCAACGACGGCATGCCAAACGTGGTAGAAGTGTTGGGGGAAAGCACTGTAGCCCCACAAGGAGCAGGGGAGGGAAGAAAAGGACAAGAACACAGGGGGCTAAATCACAGAGAGGAACAAACCAGCTGTTGGGAGTGGGAGAGGCAGAAGGGAATGGCACTGCTGCTCCTGTCCAACTTATAAATTAGACATGGGTGATGAAAAATTCAGGAGATGGGGGAAGGAATATGGAGCCTTTTACTTCTAGGTTATGAATTCAGCTCCTGTTCCTGGCTGGGAGGACTGGAGGCTTAGGGAATAAGAGACTGGGAACAGAAATGTTCATCTCAAAGTCTCCAGGTTTGGGTGTAGCTGCCAGAAAGCATCATGCTAATGAGCATAGGGAGGAAAGGGAAAAACAGGTGTCAGGGCCACCGGAAATCAAACCTCCTCAGATGATCTGGACTGCCACCATTAGCCGTCTCTGTGGCAGGATATCCTCACCTCTCTAAGGTGTGGGGCCCATCTACACCTCACCACCAACTGGAGCAGATCTTGGCTCCTGGAGCAGCCAGAGGGGAAAGAGGTGTGAAAGCCAAGACACACCTGAGCAATACGTTGCTTCAGCCAACCTTTCTCAACCTCCTCTGCATCTCTCTCCCTAAAACAGTGGTCACCAACCAGTGGATCTCAATCCACCAGTAGATCTCAGAGCCTCTTGGAGTCGATCCAAGGCTGGGGTGGGGGGCTGAGTGCCTGCGTGCATTCACGCATGCAGCCCAGCCCAGCAGGTTAGTCTGTGGGGAAGGGAAGGGGAGGGGGCTAGATCAAGGTCCCCGTGGTGAGGGACAGTGCTGCAGAGGCAGGAGCAGGAGAAAATTGGGGGGGGCCCTGGCCGGGTGGGACTTACTTGCTGGGGGGGGCACCCCCAAATAATTTTTTCTCCCTGTGCCTCGATCTGCCCCCCACCTTCCTTCCCCACAGATCTACCTGCTGGGTGGCGGAGAGGGGGCGGGGTGGTGGCAGCACACGGTAGATCTTGGGTTGCTTTTAAATGCCAAAGGTGATCTCCTACTTAAAAAGGCTGGAAACCACAACCCTAGAATAAATGTGAGGCAGAGGGACAAGGAGGCTGCCATGGTCTCTGCAATCAGTGCCAAGGAATCTTTATTTTTAAATTCACAAACAATGACCCAGCAGCTGCTCCAAGACTGTTGGGGTTTTTTTGTAAACCAGTGGAAATAATATACATTTAATTAGCTCATTTGAGCTATATTTCCTTTCCCATCATTCAACATTAAGGGCAGGTACCAAGATGACCCCTGACAATCCCTACCAAGGGGTCATTTATGTTTATTCCTAATTTCAGAAATGTAATTTTCCCTTTTTCCACCTTGCTTTCTCTTCTTCTCATTAGTGGTTCAATTCTGTGGTTTTCTCTTCTTCTCATTAGTGGTAACAATTTAAGATGTTATATTTACTAGGCATAGGGTCCCAGAAGATCTGGGGATTTACAGGCAAAATGGAAAGACAAAAGGCTGAGTGCCAGTACTATTAAAGTCAATGGCAAAGCTCATGTGCTTTCATTGGAGTTGATCAAAAGAGAAAAACACATAAACAATCACCATGTAAAACAGCTTTTTTTTTTTTTTTAAACAACCACTCTATATGCTCTTAAACTATAGCAACAAATATTCACAAAAGAATAGCCCAGAATGTCCAACATTTTGTCATTGTAAAGTCAAAAATTTTCAAGTACCTCAAGTCTTCACCAGGACTAGGGTCTGACCCAGTTCCCTTCTTTGAACACTTTTCACTGTTTTCCAGAGATTAGTACTAGATCCAATACACTCTAGTTCATAGTTCAGTGATTCTCAACCAGG